AAGGCCTTGCCCTGAGAAACCAGAGAACACCTGTTACCCATTTTGGAACGTTGAAGGAGACACTGAAGATGTACCTATTCTTTCTATCTGCAATTAACAGGCGCCTGTGTATTAATGTATTTGGCTTTCAGTACAAGAAATTGTGTAGGAGTATATATAGCTTCTATTTCCATTTTTGTGGAGTCTTTTTTCAATAATATCTGTTAAGACTTTGGATCTCTTGCCACACAGTTGTTGGGGTTTGACTTTCAAAGTAAATTCCTACCTCTTTCTGATTCATCTGCCTTTTGAGTGTGTGCCCTATAGATATAGACGCTTCTGCTTCTTAGCATCTTCGCCACCAAGACTTCCAGTGCAGCATTTGAAAAATTGAGAAGTTGCTGATTCTCATGTTTTTGCCTTAATCCAGGTCAGGTCCTTTTCCCATGTGACTTCCAGAACCTTTCAAAATGCAGTGCACCTCCTCTTTAAGAAGTGCAAGGTTGATTTTAACTTGTGCTATTATGCTTGGCTGGCTGTTTGCTGAAATGGTCTGAAACAGCAGGTCAGACAAAAATTGGTGTGTTGTCTGTGCTGCAGCAAAAAAGGATTTGTTAAGTTATTGAATACTGATTGCAGAAATGACATTCTTCCAATATCTGTAATGGTGTTCCTTCTTTTTCCATGCTAACACCCTGTGTACTATCTGTGTCTTGCTTTAAATAATCACAAAATGAGTTTTCAGTTTTCTTAATATTGAGATACATACTTAAAGAGCATCACAACAATAGGTTTTAGAAAGGTATGTGATTCTTTTTAAGAGGTATGTAGTTATAAAACATGCAAGAAGAGTGACGCAAGAGTGCCAGATTAAATTTGCATATGTTGCAATAATTTATGGAATTTTGTCATTGAAATTATCAATTTTACACAAGACTTATAATATATCCACCAACCTCATTTAATATTACTTTTTCACGTTCAGATGCAGAGTTTTACGTTATTATCCACAAAAACAATTAGATTTGCCGTCATTCAGACAAATTAAATTTTCATTGCTGAATAACGTGTGTGTTATTTATCAGCTCACAAGGCATGTTATATCTAAATTTGCTTCCAAACTATAAATCTTATTTAGTTTTAAAATAATTAACCAAACTTTGCAGTTAATGACTCAATATACAGACAAATATGGGAAGATGTTACAGCTTACAGGTAGTCAGGAAAGAAATCTGTTTAATGGTAAAAGGCTGCTGGCAGGGTTATTTGAGTTTGGTAACTCAGGAAAGATAATATTCATTCTTGGAAGACAGTTATGAGATGTGAATGTCTTGGAGGAGCACAAAGGGGACAAAGACCTGAATTTTGCAAAGCTGGAGAACTTAAGAAATGGTCAAACTGAGAAGAGGTTGCTGGACTATGGTAACGCAGGGTGAGATGATGTGTGGAAGTACTAGAGTGGAATAATACTCTGTCAGTGTGATAGTAATAGGTAGTAGGACCAAGGGATTGCTGGTTTGATGTTTGTAGAGAGAGAGCTGATGGGTACTGCACTGCATGTACTACTTTGGCATTGGGGAACAAGGTCTGCATTCTCAGTAAGCTTGTTGATAAGGCAGTCAGCTCAGAAAAGATGCAGCCAACTCAGAGTGGAATATCAGAGGTTAGTCCTTGCGGTCTTCATGGCATTTATTCACATAGTTTAACCAGTAATAATTTGGGGAAACGACATTTAAATTAGTTGACTATACTTTAAATTATAATCAAGGTTTTTCCACTGGATGTGTTAATTTAAGATGTACAGAAATGCTGAAGACCCTAAAGCTCTGATCCAATCATGGTAGGGAAGGAAGGGGAAATGTATTTGTTGTAGTGATAAGTGGAGGATGGCAGCAGGTTAGGTATTGTTCACATTGGATCATGAACCTGGCTTCAGTTAATCCAAGGAAGGTAATGCTGCCTTGGAACAGCTAAAATCAGGCCTGTATTCATATATCAGAAAAGGGGGAGGGGAAGGGGGTTCTGAAATAAATAGGGAGAGAGTGGGAGGTGGATAGAAGAGGGATAGAGGAGAGGATAGGTGGAGAGGAAACAAACAGGTCGAAGAGGTGGGGATGGAGCCAGTAAAGGTGAGTGTAGGTAGGGAGTTAGGAAGGGGCTAGGTCAGTCCAGGGAGGACGGACAGGTCAAGGGGGCGGGATGAGGTTGGTCAGTAGGAGATGGAGGTGCGGCTTGAGATGGGAGGAGGGGATAGGTGGGAGGAAGAACAGGTTAGGGAGGCAGGGACGAGCTGGACTGGTTTTGGGATGCAGTAGGGGGAGGGGAGATTTTGAAACTTGTGAAATCCACATTGATACCATTGGGCTGCAGGGTTCCCAAGCGGAATATGAGTTGCTGTTCCTGCAACCTTTGGGTGGCATCGTTGTGGCACTGCAGGAGGCCCAGGATGGACATGTCATCTGAGGAATGGGAGGGGGAGTTGAAATGGTTCATGACTGGGAGGTGCAGTTGTTTATTGCGAACCGAGCGTAGGTGTTCTGCAAAGCAGTCCCCGAGCCTCCTCTTGGTTTCCCCGATGTAGAGGAAGCCACACCGGGTACAGCGGATGCAGTATACCACATTGGCAGATGTGCAGGTGAACATCTGCTTGATGTGGAAAGTCTTCTTGGCGCCTGGGATGGGGGTGAGGGAGGAGGTATGGGGGCAGGTGTAGCACTTCCTGCGGTTGCAGGGAAAAGTGCCGGGTGTGGTGGAGCTGGAGGGGTGTGTGGAGCGGAAAGGGAGTCACGGAGAGAGTTGTCCCTCCGGAAAACAGATAAGGGTGGGGAGGGAAAGATGTCTTTGGTGGTGGGGTTGGATTGCAGATGGCGGAAGTGTCAGAGGATGATGCATTGGATCCGGAGGTTGGTGGGGTGGTACGTGAGGACGAGGGGGATTCTTTTTTGGTTCTTATTGCGTGGACGGGGTGTGAGGGATGAGGTGCTGGAGATGTGGGAGACACGGTTGAGGGCGTTCTCGACCACCGAGCAGGGGGAAGTTACAGTCCTTGAAAAACGAGGACAACTGAGATGTACGGGAGTGGAATGCCTCATCCTGGGAGCAGATGCGGCGGAGGCGAAGGAATTGGGAATAGGGGATGGCATTTTTGCAGGAAGGTGGGTGGGAGGAGGAGTATTCTAGGTAGCTGTGGGAGTCGGTGGGCTTGAAATGAATATCGGTTTCTAGGTGGCTGCCCGATATGGAGACAGAGAGGTCCAGGAAGGGGAGAGACCCTACCGCATCCCAAAACCAGTCCAGCTCGTCCCTGCCTCCCTAACCTGTTCTTCCTCCCACCTATCCCCTCCTCCCACCTCAAGCCGCACCTCCATCTCCTACCGACCAACCTCATCCCGCCCCCTTGACCTGTCCGTCCTCCCTAGACTGACCTATCCCCTTCCTAACTCCCTACCTACACTCACTTTTACTGGCTCCATCCCTGCCTCTTCAACCTGTTTGTTTCCTCTGCACCTATCCTCTCCTCTATCCCTCTTCTATCCGCCTCCCACTCTCTCCCTATTTATTTCAGAACCCCCTTCCCCTCCCCCTTTTCTGATGAAGGGTCTAGGCCCGAAACGTCAGCCTCTCTGCTCCTATGATGCTGCTTGGCCTGCTGTGTTCATCCAGCCCTGCACCTTGTTGTCTCGGATTCTCCAGCATCTGCAGTTCTTACTATCTCTGTATTCATATCTGTTTGGGACACAGTTGGGAAAAATTCTTGAACAAGAGTATCACTTACCTTAAGGCCAAACCTTAAGGAAAAGTATTTTGAAAAGAATATAGAAATGCTCAGGATATAGGATAGATATTATTAGATTTAGGCTTGATAGGAAAAATAACTGTGTGTTATTTAACTGCGAAGATGGATCTCTCTCCTTTTGAAGCCCACACAGTAGTAATAATTATTTAAACACAGGCTGAGATACATTAGACAGTACTTAACTTTATTACTTAAATGACAAATAGGTTAAGGAACAATTTGGAACATGCTTAGAATGAATTGACATCGGTATCAAAGAATGACATCTGGAGGTACTATTGTCTGGAGATGCACGCGAGATTGGAGCTTTAGGATATTAAATATATATTTCAATATAATGAGGCTCTTTTGGTACCTTGGAGAAAACAGCAGCTATTCATGTCTAAGAGATGTGGAGGTATTTATTATTTTAAGACATGTGAATGGATAAAGTTGTTTAAGTGAAAAGTAAGGAAAATTTTATAATATCTTTAATTCTTTACAAAATTCTAATAGAACAGGAATTTTTTGTGAAATCAGGAATGTATTTTAATAAATTCGGATAAATTGTCTTTAGATAGGTTTCTGCTGTTTATATATTTATTTGAGCTGATCTCAGAACTGGAAAACTAATTGTTTATTTTGGTGGTGACAGGGAGCTGTTACAGGTTAGTGATGTGATCAACATTGGAATTCCTATTAAAACGTCACCTTAATGGTGTGACCAGGAATAGTTAGAGGTAAATGGCAGGACTCGCAGCATTTTAAAAAACATCTGGATGAGCACTTAAATTCCAGGCCACAGCAGGCTACGGACCAAGTGCACGTAAATGGTTTTAGTATAGTTTGGTGTATGTTGCTTATCATAGACATGGTAGGTGGAAGAGCCTGTTTCTATGCTATATGACTCTGACTCTTTTGGGAAGTAAACATAAATTGTTCTTGATGCTATGTTATGATTTGTCTTGACAAAGATCCAATGCAATAAAATATGTTCCTAACCATATGTAGAATTTATACTGTTGGCCTAGTATTGAGTAGTAGTAGTCATATAAGCGAGTTTCACTATATCTGAATATAACAATGAGCAAAAATAAACTTCAGCACTAGTAACACTAGAATCATAGAGTCACATATGAAGTTAACCTCCACCATCAATTGCAAAATATCTGCTTTTTTTCTTTATTAAATGATGTCAAAATGTGATATCACACATAACATTTTTGTTTCTTGTTTGGCTTTACAGTATTATCTATTCTGTTGTGGCCTTTAGTAAGCTCTTGTGACTTCGGGCAAAGTATTTACAACAAGATCGACCCAGTTCTGCAGCGATTGGATTTTGGTCTTAAGGACTATGTACAACATTTGCAAGCAAGACAGCAAAGTAAGAACAATTCTACCTTTACTTTTTAAGCTATGTATCAAAAAGATGTATAACATATGCTGAGATTATCTCAAATTTATTACAATCTGCTAATTTAATGGAGCAAAATTAAGAAGCAAAATTTTATTGTGTTGTTTTTTTTCTAATACACATCCTAGTTTGGTAATCTTCCTAACAATGCAAGAAATGAAGAAAGAAGTTGCATTTAAATAGTTTTTTCCAAGACCTTAGGAGCCAAATAAATTCTTTCAGCAGTAGTCACTATTGTAATGTGGGATAAACATCACTTGGTTTGCGACAGAAAATACATAAATGACTAGAAAATAGATAAGTTACCAGATATTCTGTTTTAATGATGTTAGTTTAACAATAAATGTTGAGCTAGACAATGGGAGAACTCCCTTGATCCTCCTTGACGATAACAAATTATCAAGTACGTCCATCTGAGAAGATAGATGGGATTTCAGTTTAACTTCTCACCCAAAACTTCTACCATGTGGCTCTCCTTCATTACTCCTTCCTAAAGAGTCAGCCTGAAGTGGGGTTAAAATTCATGGTCTGCTGATTCAGGACTTAGTACTACCACTTAGCCTTCTCACCCCAAGTATATTGTTTCACCCTGTTTCCCCAATTTACTCAGTTATTTGATGCACAGATTATGAGGAGAGAGATTTGGTAGCAATATTTTGGTTATGAGCTAAACTCTATTGTAGTGGGTAATTCTGTGGTATTGCACCTAAGGTGCACTGTCATATCTGCTTTAGAGATCTAGGTGGTAGAGTCCATCGGTTTGGAAGCTGTCTGTAGGAGCTGCAATGAATTCCTGATACTGTTGTTCCTGATGTTGGTGTGAATTACATCTTGTATTTTGAGCATTGTCCAGATTTTCCATTGTCCAGATGGAAGGCTGAAACCTGAGACTTCACCAGTGGTGCTGTTTTGAGGAGTTTGTTTTCCCTGCACACATCAAGGGCTTCAATATGTGGTAGCTAGGTTAGTCTCAATATTTCAGGAAAAATCCTCTCAACCTCCCAGAGGTGGACATCTCCCACATTAATATGATTCTCCTGAGTCAGGTTGAGCAGCAGTACACTACTGTTGAATAGACCAGGGCATGTGAGGTAATGCCCAGTGTGCTGGCTTTGGTGCCCCTGGTGGCACGTATCAGTTTCTGAAATTAGATTCACCCTCATCTTGACCATTGCTCCAGTATTCTGGGAAATGTTTTCAGTGGATTAGTGTATCGTCAAGAGTGATGCCAAGAAACGTTGTCATCGGGTGAGTGATTGCCCATAAAACTTGAATGAGGTTCTTACCTGGCCTTTGAGTTGTTCAGTTGGAAGTTTATGTTTGGCCATATCCTGAGCAGCAAATGTGATATACTAATTTGAAAGAATTAAAGGTAAATCACTGTTTCAATTCAAAAATGTGTTTGGGCCCTTGGACAGTTTTTTAAATTCATTCATGGGATGTGGGTCCACAGCCATGCAAGCCATCAAGGTAAAGATAGTAGTTTCCATCCCTAAAGGACATTAGTGAATCAGGGGGTTTTTCTGACAATTGACAATTTTTCAAAAATTGCATTCAAATTCCACTATCTGCCATGGTGGGATTCGAACCAAGAGAAATGAGACGAGGTAAAAGGACAGATGTAGTATCTCCTACGTTTGCCATAGGTGTCATGGGGAAGGGAGAGCATGTGACTACATAGTGAACTATGTTGTCATTGGAGGAACGGTCCCAACAAAAAGGGGAAGGCAGGGGAAAATCTGTTTTGTGGTTGCATCATGCTAGAGCTGTCAAAAACAGTAGAGGATGATCAGTTGAATGCTGTGATTGGTGGGCTGGAAGATGAGGACAAGAGGTTCTCCCAGTTTTCCAATTTCCAAGTTTCTCCGTTCTCAATGTACAGGAGGCCCATTCTCAATCTGTTCTGATGACACAACCTTCCACACTATCACTTCTGGAATACCTGCCTTTTTCCTCAACCAAGGATTCTAAGTTATGTTGTACCAATTGCCCTTACAAAAACATGGATTTTCAAATTTGAACGATAATAAAAAAACTTATTTGCATACATTTGTACCAAGACTGAATAATTTGTTTCAAACATTGACCTTGTTTGGCTGAGTTGTTAAATGCTAAAAATGAGTGAATCAATAAAGTTGTTGGTCACTACTTTTGAAGCTACTTTTCTATCAAAATGTCAATTATTGATAAATTTTTGAAAATTACTCATTTTTTATCTCAGTCGTTCCTCATAACTGGATGTTGACTTCTTCCTTCTTTTGAACTTTGTTATCTAAAGGGCAAATTAGTTTTTCTATGACACTTGCTACACTTACCTGTTGTATGTCTTGACTTGTAGTGAAGCAGAAGCAATTGGCTGAAAGAAAGTCAGAAGATGAGAGTGAAGTGGATACATCTGGTCTTTGTCCCAAGGTTTGAAAATGTTTCCTATTTTTTAATTGTTTTTGGGATGTAAATGTCACTGGCAGGGCCAGCATTTGTTTCCTATCCCTAAACATCATTGAGAAGGTGGCAAGTGAGCTGCCTTCTTGAACCACTACAGTACATGTGCTGTAGGTACAACTGTAGTGCTGTTAGGTTTGGAATTCCAGGTTCTTGACTTAATGATAAATGAAGGAAAAATGGCGTAACTTCAAGTCAAGATGGTAGGTGTCTTGAATTCGATGATGTTCCGCATGTCTGCTGCTGAAATTTTCTTTCTAAACTAGAGATCTTGTGTTTAGGAAGTGCTGTTGAAAGAGGCTTGTAAGTCGTTGCAGTGTGTAGAATGGTTACAGCACAGAAGGAGGCTAAGTTGATTTGTCTATACTGGCCCTTTGCGAGAGTCTCGCTCTCCTGCCCTTTCCTTCTCAATGTGCATATATTTCCTCTTAAGCTACTGATTCAATTCTCTTTGGAAAGTCACAATTGATTCTGCCTCCAATGCACTCTTAGGCAGTGCATTCCAGATCCAAATAACTCACTGTGTAAAAGATCTTATCTTATGTCACTGCTTCTTTTGCCAATCACATTCAGCATCCATACACCGATGGAAACAATTTCATGCTATCCACACTGTCCTGACCCCTCATGATTTTGAATACTTCTGCCAAATGTTTTTAACCCTCTTTTTCCCAAAGAAGAACCCCAGCTTCTCCAAGTAATCGACATAAGTCCCTCACCTCTGGAACAATTCTCTCAAACCTTTTTTGCACATTCTCTAATGCATTCACATCCTTCTAAAATTGTGATGGTACACATTGTTGCCACTATGTGCCTATGATGGATAATATACATATTTAAGGAGGTGAATGGCATGGTGATCAAATGGGTACTTGATTTATACACACCCCAACCTGAATATTTATGTTACGTGATCTGCGATAAGCATAATTGAATTATAAGAGCTACATTAAGAGCTACAAATAATATTAGTACATTGGCATGACCATTTAGTATGCTGCTATGAGGACTTGGAGCATGTTGGAAAGACAGTCAAAATATCATGGATGCTGCCTGACCTGCAATGATCTCCATCACTTCTTGTTTCCAGTTCAGATTCCAGGATCTGCAGCAATTTACTCCTAAAATATCATCAAAATTTAAAAGATTTTGCTTACATTCTCTCAGTACCGCACTGAGAGAATTTTGAAAACTGTAGTCACCACTGTGACTCCAGTTACTGAATCAAATTCCGAAATCTGTAGGTTGAGCTTGTGCAACCGTTGGCACTCCTACAGAATAGTTTTTCTAGAAAATATGGTACATCTATGACTTCGACTGGGTGACCACTTCGCAGAACATTTACGTTCTACTCGCAAAAAAGACCCTGAATTACCTGTTGCCTGTGCAACACCTGCTCATTTACCTCCTCCTGCCCACTATCCAAGGGCCCAAACATACCTTCCAGGTGAAGCAACACTTCACCTGCACATCCCAGAATCTAGACTACTACATTCGCTGCTCACAATGTGGTCTCCTTTACATTGGGGAAACAAAGCGTAGGCTGGGTGACCCCTTCGCAGAACATCTATGTTCTGTTCACAAAAAAGACCCTGAACTACCTGTTGCAAGCTACTTTAATGCATCACCCTGTTCCCTGGCCAACAACTCTGTCTCTGGCTTGCTGCATGTTCTGGCAAAGCTCAATGCAAGCTGGAAGAACAACACCTCATTTTCCACTTGGGGACCCTGCAGCCCTCTGGACTCAATATCGAGTTCAATAATTTTAGGGCCTGAACTTGTGTTCAGTTCTGGTCACCTCATTATAGGAAAGATGTGGAAGCTTCAGAGAGGGTGCAGAAGAGATTTACCAGGATGCAGCCTGGACTGGAGGGCAGGTCTTATGATGAAAGGTTGAGGGAGCTAGGGCTTTTTTCATTGGAACGAAGGATGAGAGGTGACTTGATAGAGGTTTACCAGATGATGAGAGGCATAGATAGAGTGGATAGTCAGAGACTTTTTCCCAGGGTGGAAATGACTATTACGAGGGGGCATAATTTTAAAGTAATTGGAGGAAGGTATAGGGGAGATGTCAGAGGTAAGTTCTTTACACAGAGAGTGTTGGGTATGTGAAATGCGCTGCTGGTAGTGGTAGTGGAGTCAGATACTTTAGAGACTTTTGAGCGACTGTTGGATAGGCACATGGAGGATAGTAAAATGTAGGGTATGCAGGGTAGATTGATCTTAGTAGAATAATAGGTCGGCACAACATCATGGGCCAAAGGGCCTGTACTGTGCTGTACTGTTCTATGTTCTATGTTCTATGAACTCTCCCATGTCCCAGCCTCCTACTTCACACACCAGGCCTTGTTATCACATAGCCTGCCATTACACACCACTTGTTTGTTAGTCACTAAGAGTCCCCATTACCAACTATCCACCATCCCAGCCAGATCGTTATCAACTCCTTTGTCTGTCCAAGTATTCTTCTCTCTCTTTAGGGTCTATCCTATCGTTTACTCCCTACCCCACCCCCTCCCTATTTTCTCCATATAAACTGACGTTTCCCAGCCACCCTCAGTTCTGAGGAAGGGTCACTAGACCCAAAATGTTAACTCTGATTTTTTCTTCACAAATGCTGAGCTTTTCCAGCAACTCCTGTTTTTGTTCGGACATGCTGTCTGTTCCACTCAGCCACACTGCCCTTCCATACAGTCTACTTATTGTAAGTAAATAGCTTTTCTGTTACCACCAGCTCATTCTGCTGAACCAAGAGAAAGACCAGATGAGGGTGAAAACAGAAGAAAGAAGCACCCTTTCCGCAACCCCACTCTCTCACTGAACTCCTCACTCACCAATCTCTTATCTACTTATTCTGATAAAATCAGAGTGAAGATTGTAAGCACAGGAATTACAAGAGCATTTTTTAAATTACAGATGCCCCAATTTTCCGTTTGTTCAGCTGTTACTGTACATTGTGCAGAACACCAGCAGTTTAAATGTTTTTTGCACTCATATACAGAAAGGTCCGTTGGGCAAAGGAAGAAAGTGAACTTCAAGTAAGGAGGAATTATGCAAACAGAAAGTGATGAATCAAAGCACAAAGAGAATTATTTTCAGGAGACGTTTGAAAGAAGGAAGGGAATTAGGCAGGAAGTTCAGGATGATAAACAAAATTGAGTGGGCAGCGATGATTGAACTTGTTTTGGAGCAGCTATGGCTATTCACAAGTTTCTTCGAGATCAGTGGTGGGTAACAGCCAAGGAAGGTTTTTAAAGTGAGAACAAGGATCTTAAAGCAGTTATTTGGGTTGGAGCAGTTTGCAGAAGAGGATTTATGACTGTTACAAGAACCTTATGTCCTGGTTTTTCTACTTTCATTTTGTAGGTAAGCAGTTCAGGAGCTGGCAAAGAACTATGTATTTCTGACACCGAACCTTCAGAAACATGGACAGAAAATGGAACCTTTAACTTGTCAGGAGGTCATACCCCACAGACAGATGCCTCAGATGGTACAGTGAATTTTTTCTAATATTGAAAATATAAAATAAAGACCATGTTTTTATGTAATATGAAATAAAGCAAATTAAAACATAATATAATACAAGAGTTTTCAACCTTTATGATGTTTTGTAGAGAAGTGGAGATGCCACAAATTTGAGGAAGTACTTAGCCTTTGAAGACATTTTCCATGATTTTGCTGGAATTTTTAAATGGAAGGAGCAAAAATGTGCTATTTAATGGTTGGTAGTGTCCTGGGAATGCCACGTTCACAGTTGTGAATGTGTGTTAAATAGCCAGTTATTTAGTTAATTGTCTAGACAAATCAAACTTGTTCAGAATTATTGTGACTAGCTACATGATGGAATTGTATATTGGCAGGTTGGATAGTTTACCTCCATGTCAAATCCTAAGGAATTGCATTTTAAATTGAGCTATTTTTAGCAAGGCATACATCTGTCCAGCCTTCATTGTGGGGAAAAGTCAATCTCAGAAAAATTGCACTAATATGTTCTCTTTTCATAACTAGTAAGTTCTCTCCTCTTTCACGACATACATCATATATATTTTCTTTTATCTTCTGAAATTTTTTTTTGTTAAATGCTTATTCATTGCTTCCATACTGATGGTTTTCTGAACCTCAAGGAAGATTTTTTTCATCTTTGAACAAATTTCAAAAACAAAGTTATAATCTTAATCTCCAAATACTTTTAAAATACTTTTAAGAATTTCTTTCATTGGGATATGATCATCACTGGCAAGGGCAACATTTTTGCCCAATTCCTAATTTCATTCCAAATAGCTGAATTGTATTAGTGTTCTGTTTTAATTCTCCCATGTTTAATCTTTAATTTAGATCTAGATCGTCCGAGTGATCCTGAGGAAGCATTTACTAGAGATCTTCCGGAATTTCCTTCAGTTGATAATAAGGGAACAATAGATGATGATGACTCAAGTATTGGCATCCCTACCCCCCCAGCTCCCAGTCTAGAACCCAATGAAGTAGATTCATTTCAGGAAGGCATACAAACAGGAATTGCTGTTGCTGGACTTCCCTTGAACATGTCCAATGAGCAGAGCTTCAACCTGATCAGCACTATGGCAAGTGATGTCATTGCTACAGCAGTGTCATCTGCTGTAAAAGGCCAGTTGCAGGCCTTCGAAATCAACCTGACCATGCCACCACAGCTGAACTCAAGTGAAGACACTGACGCAGAAGAGGCTGATGACTTTGAATTGCTTGACGAGTCTGAGTTGAAACAAATTGAGAGCGAATTAGGACTGGATCAGGGCCAAACAACAAATCAACAAGCCAAAGATGGCAAGTCAGGCTTTCTGTCAAACCTACTGGGTGGTCATTAAGCCTGCTTTCAGGGCTGGAGAATAAACATACAGACCATATGTGAATAACAAAACAAACACAAGCTACAAGCTTATTTACTATCGTTGTTCCCAAAACAAGAGCCAAACCTCATAAATATGATGTGGTGAATATTGAACTAGGTGCAGCAAAGAAAGAATGAGAAAAGTGGAATAGAGCTGCACAGTTATCATCATTTAATAATCTAGTTATTGAAGGAACTGGTTGATTTGTGCTATTTGGTAAAATGGGCCACCTATTCAATGTGTGTTGTCTGACTATAATCTTTATGCCTTGAAATAACAGCATGGAAACTAATCCTGTCTTGTTAATCTGAGTTGTTAGCAAATAGCTTTAAACATATTTCAATTGACATGTATTTGCAAATCTGAAAGTCAGATGTCAAACATTTTTAGTTAACAATTTTATCCTGTGTGCAGAAACTGACAATCAATAATTAGCTTCTGACTGTGCTTTGCAGCAAATTGACAGCTAAAAAAGCAGAGTACTTTTCAAAAAATACTTATGGTATTTTAGATATCCTGGAAAGTCTAGTCCTCTTTGAAGCCCCTTTATTCACATGTTTGAGTAGAATGTACAAAGAAAGCTGGGTAGACATATTTCACAGGTGAGGACATTGATCCTTGCTTGTATTTTAAAAATATGTAAAACCAATCTTTACTGCACTTTCTGCCTTATTGAATTACAGATTGAACTGTGAGAAGAAATACATTAAAACTTAGTTCACATCACAGTACCAATTAAATTTAATGATTTTTTGTTTTGATTTATACTTTAAAAATTCTCCTGTTTACACACATCACATGGATTTATGGGTCTTACTCTGAAAATAATCAGGCAAATTTATTTTGTACTTGGAAAAAAATATACATTTTTTTGCCAATTGTGGATCAGTGAATCCCAGTGCAGCCACTGTAGTCCTTGTTAGATTAATTTTATGCTGGGAAGATTGTTAAAATTATGCAATACATATTCTAAAACCTTCAGCTAATTCATACTAATTTAAAACGTTATTGTGTCTTTGCCTATCAATGACCCTTATGCCCAAGGACACACGTGAGAAACTAAGATTTTCGTCTATATTTATTTCTTCCACTCTGGTTCATCCCACGTTAAGCAACTTCTTACTTTTTTTAAAAACAATTTCATGCTTAAAGTTTAAGTATTCTCTAAGAATTGTAGCTGGCAACACACATTTTCCCATTATACTTCATGCTGAAACAAAACGAGAAGTGGTTCTATCAGGTTAGTGGCCAATTCATTACTTGTTCCTGACAATTCTCTGTTAATGGAGAGAACTGTAATTTGAATTTCTGTAATCCTTCTAAAGATAATTGAGTAGCTATTATTTTGTTGACTAATATTGGATGATTTTATCTGTCAACAAGACTCTTGTTCTCAAGCCATCAAAACTTGCCTTTTTCTGGATACACGAAAATAGAAACTAAAACACTTCATTTTGCAGCCTGCTTTTATGGATATATTGATTTTTGTTGAATGGAGTTATGTTCGGTGATATTTTTAATATTTTGGATAAAACAACTTAAACAAATTCAATTTTGTATTCATCAGTTCACTGATTCTACATTAAGGAAGAGATCACGTTGGTTCTGGTTAATCTATCTTATTACCATGTGGATACCTAAAGCCTGTATTTTTTTTAAATTCATTTTTGTGGAATGTGGGCATCACTGGCTGGCCAACATTTCTTGCTCCATCCCTAGTTGCCCTTGAGAAGGTGGTCGTGAGCTGCCTTCTTGAACCACTGCATTCCTCCATCTGTGGGTTGACCCACAATGCTATTAGGAGGGAATTCCAGGATTTTGACTCAGCGACAGTGAAGGAACGGTGATATATTTCCAAGTCAGAATGGTGAGTGACTTGGAGAGGAACTTGGAGGGGGTGGTGTTCCCATACATCTGCTGCCCTTGTCCTTCTAGATGGAAGTGGTCGTGGATTTGGAAGGTACTGTCTGAGGATCTTTGGTGAATTTCTGCAGTGCATCTTGTAGATAGTACACACTGTTACTACTGAGCGTCAGTGGTGGAGTGAGTGAATTCCTGTGGATGTTGTGCCAATCAAATGGGCTGCTTTGTCCAGGATGGTGTCAAGCTTCTTGTGTGTTGTTGGAGCTGCATTTATCCAGGCAAGTGGGGAGTATTCCATCACATTCCTGACTTGTGCCTTGTAGAAGGTGGACAGGCTTTGGGGAGTCAGGAGATGAGTTACTCGCTGCAGTATTCCCAGCTTCTGGCCTGCTGTTGTAGCCACTCTCTTAATGTGGTGAGTCCAGTTGAGTTTATGGTCAGTGGTAACCACCAGGATGTTGATTGTGGGGGATTCAGTGATGGTAACACCATTGAATATCAAGGGGCAGTGGTTAGATTTTCTGTTATTGGTGATGGTCATAGCCTGGCATTTGTGTGGCGCGAATGTCACTTGCCACTTGTCAGCCCAAGCCTGGATATTGTCCATATCTTGTTGCATGTGAACATGGACTGCTTCAGTATCTGAGGAGTCACGAATGCTGCTAAACATTGTGCAATCATCGGCGAACATCCCCATCTCTGACCTTATGATGGAAGGGAGGTCATTGATGAAGCAGCTGAAGATGTTTGGGCCTAGGACACTACCCTGAGGAACTCCTGCAGAGATGTCCTGGAGCTGAGATGTTTTGCCATCCACAAACACGACCATCTTCCTCTGTGTCAGATATAACTCCAACCACTGGAGTGTTTTCCCCTTGATATCCATTGATTCCAGTTTTGCAAGGGCTCCTTGATGCCACATTCGGTCGAATGCAGCCTTGATATCAAGAGCTGTCACTCTCACCTCATCTCTGGAATTTAGCTCTTTTGTCCTTGTTTGAACCAAGGCTGTAATGAGGTCAGGAGCCGAGTGGCCCTGGTGGAACCCAAACTGGGCGTCACTGAGCAGGTTATTTCTGAGCAGGTGCTGCTTAATAGCACTGTTGATGACACCTTCCATCACTTTACTGATGATCAAGAGGAGACTGATGGGGCAGTAATTGGCCGAGTTGGATTTGTCTTGCTTTTTATGTACAGGACATACTTGGGCAATTTTCCACATTGTCAGGTAGATACCAGTGTTGTAACTGTACTGGAACAGCTTGGCTAAGGGAGCGGCAAATTCTGGAGCACAAGTCTTCAGTCTTATTGCCAGAATGTTGTCAGGACCAGTAGTCTTTGCAGTATCCAGTGTCTCGAACTGTTTCTTGATATCACATGGAGTGAATCGAATTGGCTGAAGACTGGTATCTGTAATGCTGGGGACCATTGGAGGTGGCCGAGATGTATCGTCCACTTGGCACTTCTGGCTGAAGATTGCTGCGAATGCTTCAGCCTTTTCTTTTGCACTGATGTGCTGGGCTCTTCCATCATTGAGGATGGGGATATTTGTGGAGCGTCCTCCTGCAGTGAGTTGTTTAATTGTCCACCACCATTTATGACTGGATGTGGCAGGACTGCAGAGCTTAGATCTGATCCGTTGGTTGTGGGATCGCTTAGCTGTGTCTATCACTTGCTGCTTTCGCTGTTTGGCGTGCAAGTAGTCCTGTTTGGTGGCTTTGCGAGGTTGATATCTCATCTTCAGGTATGTCTGGTGCTGCTCCTGGCATGCCCTCCTGCATTCTTCATTGAACCAGGGGTGATCCCCTGGCTTGATGGTAATGGTTGAGCAGAGGACATGCCGGGCCATGAGGTTACAGATTGTGATGGAGTACAATTCTGCTGCTGTTGATAGCCCACAGCGCCTCATGGATGCCTAGTCTTGAATTGCTAGATCTGTGCGAAGTTTGTCCCATTTAGCATGGTGATAGTGCCACACAACGCGATGGAGGTTACTCTCAATGTGAAGGCGGGACTTCGTCTCCACAAGGACTGGGTGATGATCACTCTTACCGATACTGTCATGGACAGATACAACTGCAGCTGGCAGATTAGTAAGGATGAGGTCAAGTATGTTTTTCCCTCTTGTTGGTTCCCTCACCACCTGCCGCAGACCAGTTGAGCAGCTATGTCCTTTAGAACCCGACCAGCTCAGTCAGTCGTACTGCTATCGAGCCACTCTTGGTGGTGAACATTGAAATCCCCCACCCACAGTACACTTTGTGCCCTCGCCATCCTCAGTGCTTCCTCTAAGTGATGTTCAACATTGAGGAATACTGATTCATCAGCTGAGGGAGGACGGTATAGAACATAGAACAGTACAGCACAGTACAGGCCCTTCGGCCCACGATGTTGTGCCAAACTTTTACCCTAATCCTAAGGTCTATCTAACCTCCACCCCTACCTTATACTATCATCCATATGCCTATCTAATAGCTGCTTAAATGCCCCTAATGAGGCCGACTCCACTACCCTCTCCGGCAATGCATTCCACGCTCCTACCACTCTCTGAGTAAAGAACCTACCTCTAACGTCTCCCCTGTATCTACCTCCACTCACTTTAAACATATGCCCCCTCGTAATAGCTACCTCCACCCTAGGAAAAGTCTCTGGCTGTCCATTGTATCTATACCTCTGATCATTTTGTACACCTCTATCAAGTCACCTCTCAGCCTTTGTCGTTCCAAAGAGAAAAGCCCTAGCTCTCTCAACCTTTCCTCGTAAGACCTTCCCTCCATTCCAGGCAACATCCTGGTAAATCTCTTCTGCACCTTTTCCAATGCCTCCACATCTTTCCTGTAATGAGGCGACCAGAACTGGACATAGTACTCCAGATGTGGCCGAACCAGGCTTTTGCATAGCTGGAGCATAACTTCATGGCTCTTGAACTCGATCCCTCTATTAATGAAAGCTAACACACCATATGCCTTCTTAACAACTTTATCCACCTGGGTGGCAGCTTTCAGGGAACTGTGAACCTGAACCCCAAGATCCCTCTGCTCCTCCACACTGCCAAGAATCTTTCCGTTAATCCTGTATTCTGCTTTCAAGTTTGTCCTTCCAAAATGAATCACCTCACACTTTTCAAGGTTAAACTCCATCTGCCACTTCTCAGCCCAGCTCAGCATCCTATCAATGCCCCTTTGTAACCTAGAACAGTCCTCCACACTGTTCACAACGCAACCCACCTTCATATCATCTGCGAACTTGCTAATCCACCCTTCCACTCCTTCATCCAAATCATTTACAAAAATCACAAATAGAAAAGGACCCAGGACAGATCCTTGTGGTACACCACTCGTAACTGAGCACCATGTTGAATATTTTCCGTCCACTACCACCCTTTGTCTTCTAAGAGTCAGCCAATTCTGAATCCAATCTGCCACATTTCCCCCTATCCCATGCCTCCTTACTTTCTGCACGAGCCTACCATGGGGAACCTTATCAAACGCCTTACTTAAATCCATGTATACCACATCCACTGCTCTACCTTCATCCATGTGTTTGGTCACCTCTTCAAAGAATTCAATAAGGTTTGTGAGGCATGATCTGCCCCTCACAAATCCATGCTGACTATCACGAAACAAACTGTGCCTTTCCAAGCGATCATAAATCCTGTCTCTCAGACCTCTTTCCAGTAATTTGCCCACCACTGATGTAAGACTAAATGACCTGTAATTTCCGGGGTTATCCCTATTGCCTTTTTTGAACAAAGGAATGACGTTTGCCTCTCTCCAATCTTCTGGCACTATACCCGTGGACAGTGAGGATGAAAAGATCATCGCCAAAGGCCCTGCGATCTCTTCCCTCGCTTCCCATAGAATCCTTAGATAAATCCCGTCAGGCCCGGGGGACTTATTTATCTTCGACTTCCTCAAAATTCCTAGCACATCTTCCTTACTAACATCGACCTCCTCTAGCCTTACCAGCCTGTTTCACACTGTCCTCCTCTACAACTAGGTCCCGCTCAGTTGTGAATTACGAAGAAAAGTATTCATTAAGGACCTCTCCAATCTCTTTAGGCTCCGTGCACAAATTCCCTTTACACTATAGTTCCCTTTACAATCCTTGATCGGCCCTACCCTTTTCTGGTCATTCTCTTCTTCCTCACGTATGTGTAAAAAGCCTTGGAGTTTTCCTTGATCCTGTCTACCAAGGTTTTCTCATGCCCCCTTATAGCTCTCGTAACCTCTTTCTTCAGGTCCTTCCTGGACAACTTGTATCCCTCTAGAGCCTTTTCCGTTCCTTGTTTCCTAAACCTTACATAAGCATCCTTCTTCCTCTTAACCAGTCGTTCGACTTCTCTTGAGAACCAAGGCTCCGCGTCTTCCCTGCCTGCTAGGGACAAACATATCGAGCACACGCAGTATGCATTCCTTAAACAATCTCCACATTTCAATAGTGCTCTTCCCTGACAGCATCTGTTCCCAATTTATGTTACCCAGTTCTTGCCTAACAGAATAGTAATTACCCTTCCCCCAATTATAAATCTTAACCTGCTGTATGTACCTATCCTTTTCCATGACTATTGTAAAAGTAACAGAGTTATGATCGCTACCGCCAAAATGCTCTCCTACTAACAGGTCTAACACTTGGCCCGGCTCATTGCCAAGCACCAAATCCAAAGTGGCCTCTCCTCTGTGGTATGTGGTAATCAGCAGAGGTTTCCTTGCCCATGTTTAACTTGAAGCCATGAGACTTCATCGGGTCCAGAGTCAATGCTGAAGAGTCCTAGGGCAACACCCTCCCGACTGTATACCACTGTGCCGCCCCCTCTGCTGGGTCTGTCCTGCCGGTGAGACAGGACATATCCAGGGATGGTGTTGGTGGTGTCCAGGACATTGTTTGTAAGGTCTGATTCTGTGAATATGACTATGTCAGGCCGTTGCTTGACTGGTCTGTGAGACAGCTCTCCCAATTGTGGCACTAACCCCCAGATGTTAGTCAGGAGGACTTTGCATGGTCGACAGGGCTGTTTCTGCCATTGTCTTTTCCAGTACCTAGGTCAATGCCAGGTGATCCGTCCAGTTTCATTTCTTTGAGTCTTGGTAGCGATTGGTTCAACTAAGTGGCTTGTTAGGCCATTTCAGAGGGCAGGTGAGAGTCAACCACATTGCTGTGGGTCTGGAGTCACATGTAGGCCAGACCAGGTCAGGGTGGCAGATTTTCCTCCCCTGAAGGACATTAGTGAACCAGATGGGTTTTTCCGACAATCGACAATGATTTCATGGTGATCAGTAGACCCTTAATTCCAGACTTTTTTTTTGAATTCCAATTTCACCATTCGAACCCATGTCCCCAGAACATCAGCTGGGTTTCTGGATTAATAGTCTACCCTGTGGTGAAGAACCTTCCTTTAGAAGGTAAAACATTTTGATTAGATTTGGTTTGGACTGTTTGATGTGATAACTGTGATTTACATTTGAAAGCCGGGAACTTAGTGACAATTCTTAGCTGACAGTTGGTCTGCAATGCAGGGGTCATAATTGTTTTTTAAAATTGGAGTATTAAAAAAATGATTCAAAATTTGAACTAAACTGGACAAAATCAAGATCACTGCCATTTCAAATCAAGTTTTACATGTATCATATAATTATTGGTGGTTCAATTTTTCACCTTACTCATGCCAGAAAATATGGAAACAATAGATATTTCCATCATGAAACAGGTAACACCACCTTTTAAAGAAGTGAGCAGATAAGAAGACGTTGACACGTTAAATCTCATATGCCACTTGAGGGAGATGAGCACATGTAGAACAACATTTCACTGCAATACTAAAGGGCATCTCTGTGATCAGAGATGCCTGTTACTATCTTTTGAATCAGATGTTAAAAGGACACCAAATCTGCCTTTCCAAGTGGGCAATATGTAAGGAAGAATAGGAGTGATATTCTGATAGCCACGAATTCAAAAACACCACTGAAATTGAATATTTGGACCTATATCTCATTGCCATCTGTGGAACCTGCTGTGTTCATATTGGTGGGTAAACTTTCCAAAAAGTAATATTTGGAATAAAAGCAACAAATAAAAACATTTTGGATTTTGCTATGGATGCACGGTACTTTAATTAAAATGTATTTTTGCAATATCACCCTGATTTCTAAGTTTAAATATTTTCAGAGTTGAGACCTAGCTCAAATGATTATTGGTACCTTTTACTTTACAAAATTATATTTTGATCCTTTCACTAGTTTTGCTAATGGTACTTGGTAGCTGTGACTGTGCAGTATTCAAGTAATGCATTTAATGTTAACAAAGATTTCTGCATTCAGAACTTTGCATATATGTATATGTAAATATACATAGCTTGAGTTAATGTTTAAACTTCTGTTACAATGTGGTTAAATATAACTCACCACCTCAAATACTGTTGAGAGAACAAAATGAAAGCAGTTCAGAAGTTATCAAATATGCTAATAATCAGCCAAGAAGCCTTGAAAGTTGGGATATGATCTGCATCAATGAAATGGTAAATTATCTACAGATTTAGTCACAAGTCTTAACAATTTTAACTTTCAATGCACAGTTAAGTATAATATTAGTTCATTGATAAACACTTATCCTCTCTCCCTTCGTGAATCCTTTCATACTGTACTGATCAACACCGGCTGGTTTAGTATATTTAACACTTTCCAAACTCTAATTTAGCGCCATGTTTTATGTGTTGTCATTTAGAAAATGTTCTGGGTTATTTGAATAAGTCCAATCCTTTGGATGGTTTTGAGAGATCTGTTTCTGGTTACAAATTCAAATTGGCTGGATCTCTTTTGTTGCAACTAAACTGGCAGTCCAGTGTTTTAAAAACTAATTTTCTTTATTCTGAGCATGTTTACTTGATCATAAGCTTAAAAATTGAGTAATCCACTGATTCAATTAAAAGCGTACAAATCATTAAGCATGTCATCTTATGTAAAATTTGTGAAAACATACGTTTATAGGACCATGTGAAAACATAGGATTATAAGAACATAGGACCTACTAAATCTGGGTGCCAGGACTAATGAGAGTTGGATTTTGATTATTATTTTGAAAAAAAGCATAATTTGGCACTTTATTATGTATGAAAATGCACTGTCTGTCAATCAAGCCACATGTAAAATGATAGCTTCATCCAGGAAAAAGGAATGACAACCAGAAACAGAACTAATCACGGAATGTCTTGTGATATTTCACAAGATATGGAAATTTCCCGTCTATAGCACTTTATAGGATCAAGAATTTCAGTGGCAAATACATGGCCATTATGGTAATTGGATTTGATAATTAAAGCTATTCTAATCATGTTAATTTGTTTCTTTTGTGATTGACAATGCTCAACCAAAAAAAAAGCACTTTATGTACAATTTAACCAATGTAGTGCTATAATTACAGTTGTACAATGAGAATTACACAATTATTTTTGAACTGTTTGCACTCTTTATTGATCTACAGATTCTTAGCTAAGTGGTAGAAATGGTAGAATGGTAAAATGGTAGAAATATATTATGTGTATGCAATTATAAATAACTTGTTTTTATTCTCATATGCTGTCATTCTTATACTTTTCAGTCCATCTTAATATATCCATTTTATGTAATGAATATAACAGTGTACTTCTTTGTAAACAAAATCAGCCAATATTTACTAAACCATAAATTTGGAGCAGTGGGGTGGAGTTATGGATGGAAAAAATGTGCTCTGGGTATTAATAGGCATAGTTTATACAGACATCGAGAGGAAGGGGCAAAGTTTTAGACTGGAGACCCATCTACAAATTCTTAGTTAAGGAAAATAAAATGGTTAGTACTGTATTGTCTTGTTTATACTTACCAGCACGCCCTCTTGCTTACCACCTGATTGACCATTTGGGTTTTGGGAGTTCCTGTACAGGCTGCGGGAAGAGGTAGATCTGATCTGTGACCCTGCAGGTCAGGGTGGGATTCTCAAACAATCCAATCCCATGTAGAGTCCAATCCTTGAACCCAGGAAAATTGGTTTCCAACTGCAAAGGATTGGATCTGATGGGGAATTCAAAGTAAGACTAAAACCAGAAGAATCACCCGGCAGCAACTGAGATATTCGGCATGGAAAGGCCCATCCAGCCTTGACTATGTTTTCACTAAGAGTGGATCAATATCCTATAATTCCCTGCATAAAAGCATAGTAATGTAAGTATAACAGATGGACTGCAGCAGTTCAAGGAAGTGGTTCACCACCACCAACTCAAGACCAATTGCGGATGGGTAATAACTGCCAACCATGCTTGCAATGCTCCTATTCTATGAAAAAATTCAAAAGGCAGATGTGTCAAAATTGGGATTAACTGTGCTCAGAACAGTCAAGCAACACCCTCACTTTTTTATAAGCATACCTTGCAACTAACATTGCAGACTCCTCCATTACCATTTATGTATGTCCTATTCCACTGGCAAGACAGACATACCAAAAGTGGTTGCACAATAGTTCTACCCTGCCTAAAAGACAGCTGGACAGTAGCAGCGTTGATTTTATCGGCCCATAAAGTATAATCTCCAATTAATGTCTAATATGTGAATCCAAATAAGCCAATGAATTTATAATTAACATGCTCAGTTATTTCTTAATATCACATGGGTATCAATCAGAATCATCCAAGGCGATCTGATAAAAGTTTACAATATTATGAGGGGCATTCACCAAGACATGGTTGTTTCCCTTTGGTGCAGGGATCAATGACTGGGAACACCACCACGACCTGCAAAATCGAATCTAAGCCACATACTATTCATACTTGGAACTGCATCCCTGGGCCTTCACTGTTGCTAGGTCAAAATCCTGGAATTTTCTCATGAACGTCCTCAGAGTATCTGAACCAAATGAACTACAGCAGTTCATAAAAGCAGCTCAGCACCTCCTTCTCAAGGATAATTAGGGATGGGCAACAAACACTGACCAACCCAGCGATGCTCACATCCCATGGAAGAATGAAACAAAACATATCCACTTGGAGACTATAAGGACTGCAGATGCTGGAAGCTAGAGTCAATAAATGTGGAGGTGGAAAAACATAGCAGGTCAGACAGCATCCGAGGAGCAGGGAAGTAACCGTTCCTGGAGGTACAGTAGATAACTGTTGTCACTGTTGGGTCAATATTGTGATGGTCTGAATGTTATTTGGAGTCCATGCTGGACAAGCCGGCTGTGTAGACAGGCACTGAGGAAGGAGATGTGGCTGTAGCAGCAGGATTGCTTCAGAATGTGGTTGAAGAGCTTCAAGGCAGAGGAGATAACCAGGGGGTTGCAGTGGGAGAGAGACTTACTGAGTTCTGTTCGGAGGAGGGAGGGAAAACTTCTTCAAGGTGGGCATCCATACAAGAGAGTTTGCAGTATGGTTTTCAGTGACTTGGAGACAGAAAGGACAGCATCTGAGGAGCAGGGAAGTAACTGTTTCTAGAGGCCCTGGAGGTTCTGTAGATAACAGCTGTCACAGTTGGGTCCAAATTGCAATAGTCTGAACGTCTTTTGGAGTCCATGGGGGATAAACTGGCTGTGTAAGAAGGAGACGTGGCTGTAGTTGGAGGTAATGTAGATAAACCGTGATAATTGTTATCTACAATACCCCTAGGGCCTCCAGAAACATTTACTTCCCTGCTGAGAGTGGAAGGATAAACAACCAGTTATCAGAATACACATTAGTACTAATGACTTCAGTAATAAAAGAGGGTGAGAAATGCATGATACAGGGTGTTAAAATGCAAATTGTAAAGTAGGCTTCAAAGGTGGCCACAATAGAAATAGCAGGATTTATCAGGTGAGTACATGGCTGGAGAGATGTTGCAAAGGGAAAGATTTCAGATTCCTGCTACACTGGGACCGATTGTGGAGAAGGTGGGACCAGTACAAGCTGGACTGGCTGCACCTGGACAGCACCAGAACTGACATCCTAAAAGGAGCATTCACCAGCGTGGTTAGAGAGAGTTTAAACTAAAATGGCAGGGAGCTGGGAGCCAATTGTGAATGCAATTAGCCAAACTTCCGTTGGATCCCATGGGCTCTTACCTTTGCTGTTAGTCTCCCTCACAGTACCTTATCAAAAGTCTTGCTGAGGTCCAAGAAGACTATATCAAAAGCATTGCCTTCATCTGCACACCTGATCAGCTTTTCAAAAAATGTAATCAAGTTTGTCAGATATGACCACCCCTTAACAAAACCATGCTGACTGTTTTCGGTTAATTCCTGCCTTTCCAAATGCGGATTGATTCTGTCCCTCAGAATTTCTTCCAATAGTTTCCCCACCATTGAGGTTAGAATGACTGGCCTGGAGTTTCCTGATATATCCCTTACTAAGTTTTTGAATAAAGATACCACACTTCTTTACACAGAGACTGGTGGGTATGTGGAATGCGCTCCCAGTGGTGGTAGTGGAGTCAGATACTTTAGGGACATTTTAAGCGACTCTTGGATAGGCACATGGATGATAGTAAAATGTATGATAAAAAGGGTAATTTGATCTTAGAGTAGGATAATAGGTTGGCACAACATCGTGGGCCGAAGGGCCTGTACTGTGCTGGACTGTTCTATGTTCTACTTGCTGTCCTCCAGTCCTCTGGCATCTTTCTAAGTACAAATCGTACTGTAACAATACACTTGTTCTGAATGTTAATGAGAGGTGCTGCTACTGAGAATTTTTTCCAGGTTTTAGCTAAAATGTAAGGCATATATTTGTTAGTATAAATTGTATGCGCAATTCTTCTCTTTTTATCAGTGAGGTGAATACATTTATTATGTATGACAGTTATAGCTTATTCACTTGATAACTCTCTGTCGTCATCATTAATTCTACAAAGGAAAATTGTGGTTTTGGAAATTATGACTATTAAGGGCTGGCGCTCTGCTCACAAGCAGATAGTTTGCTTGTACATCCACCTCTGGAGAATAAATGGCCCAAATGGATTCTAATTCTGTGATGGTGGGTATGGTGGATGGTGGGTCTGCTGCCCGAGACATAAATAAGAAGTGGTCACCCTCCAAGAGAAAAAAAATTCTCATCTTTCCTGAATGAGCAACCCCTTATTTTTAAGTTATACCCCTAATTCTAGGTTCTCCAAGAAGAGGAAACATCTTTTCTACCTACACCTGGTTAAGGCCCCTTGGGATCTTATCTGCTTCAATAGTTATCTTTGATTCTTTTGAACTTTGCAGGATACAGGCCTAGCCTGCCTAGCATTTTTTCCTAAGGCAATCTGCCCATTTCAAGTATTGGTCTTGTGAACCTACTCTGCTTCCAACACATTAACGTAAGCATGGTGACCAAACTGTACACAGCACTCCATATTTAGTCTTACCAACATCCTGCATAACTGAAGCATAACCTCCCTACTCTTGCATTCAATTCCCCTCATAATAAAACATAACACTCCATTTGCCTTCCTGATTACTTGCTGTACCTTTCTACTAACCTTCTTTGATTTGGCAACTAGGCACCCAAATTTCTCTGTATCTCAGAGCTCTATAACCTCGCCAGTTAAATAATTTGTTTTTTCTAATTCAGATGTCCCATTGAGCTGAGGAGTGGCAGATGGAGTTTACTTTAGATAAAAGTGAGATGTTGCATTTTGCTAAGGCAAACCAGGGCAGGACTTATATGGTTAATGGTAGGGCCCTCGTGAGTGTTGTTGAACTAAGCGACCTAGGGGTGCAGGTGCACAGTTCCTTGGAACTGGAGTCACAGGCAGACAGAGTGGTGAAAAAAGTGTTTGGCCTGCTTACCTTCACTGGTCAGAACACTGAGTTCAGGAGTACAGGACATTGGTGAGGCCACTTTACAATTATCGTGTACGATTCTGGTCATCCTTTGAGAGGAACAATGTTGTTAAATTCGAGAGGTTGCAGAAAATATTTACAAGGATGTTGCCAGAACTGGATGGTTTGAGTATTGAGAGGCTGAATAGGTTGGAGCTATTTTCCCTGGAACATTGGAGGTGGAGGTATACACATTTATAGAGGTGTATAAAATCATGAGGGGCATACATCGATTGAATAACCAAGATGTTATTTTCTTGGAGAGGGTGAGTCCAAAACTAGAAGGTATTGGTTTAGGGTGAGAAGGAAAAGTTTAAAAAGGACATGAAGGGTAACCTTTTCAAGCAGAGGGTGGTGCACGTATTGGACGAGCTGCCAGAGGAAATAGTGGAGGTAGGTACAATTAAAAAATTTAAAAGGCACCTGGATGGGTATATGATTAGAGGGATATGGGCCAAATGCTGGCAAATAGGACTAGGTCAGACTGAGACAACTGGTTGGCGCAGATCAGTTGGACTGAAGGGTCTGTTTCCATGCTGTATGAATCTATGACTTGATGATTTGTAGAAGTGAAGCATCACTTCCTTGTTTTTATAGTCTGTGTCTCTATTTATAACCTGAAGGATTGTATAAATCTTGTGAAGAACTGTTTCAATTTGCCTGGCCACCTTCAGAGCAAATGAACCCCGAAGACCCTCTGCTCCTGTACTGCTGTTTGGTAGCTAAGTTTTTCTTTTATTTACTCATTCTTTCACATGATAT